AGATATCACATAGAAATAAACCAGTCCAAATATGATATGCAATGGGAGAGATATCACATAGAAATAAACCAGTCCAAATATGATATGCAATGGGAAAGATATCGCAAGGACAAAGGTGGTATAGCATTCTATGCCAAAGATACTTTAGAAAGGGTGGTGGCTGTGGAGCCAGAACTGCTTGCGTTTGAATCTTATGTCCTCTACTAACTTGGAGTGTGACCTTGGGCAGTCACTTAACTTCCCTTCACTTTGGTAAAGAGGTAAGGGGTGATAACGCTTACCCTCACTTAGGAGTAATAGTATTCCCAGTATTAGTATGAGGGCCCTGGAGGTTAATACATGCCAAGTGCTCAGGGAAATGCCTAGGGTGCAGCATTAAAGTTGTTAAATGCTTGGGGTGTGGGGAGGGATGTTTGGTTGGGTTCATTTTTGGCGATGAGGACTGAGCCATTGAACCGAGGGCCTTCCACATGCTAACCACGCACACGCCGAGCGTGTGCTCTACCACTGACCTACGCGCCCAGCTCCGAAGTTATTTTTCTCTTGCTTTGTGCTGTTCTTTCTCCTTCCTAGACTTCTCTCCCTTGGTATCTCATCCATAATGATATTGTATTACGTTACTGATATTATATTAATTTTATAATTTACATACTATTACTATAATGCCAATCTTGTCCATCTTCTCCGTCTTTCAGTTTGTCCGGTTTCACTACTTCATCACCATCTTTTTATCCCACACTGCCAGTTTTAAACACAAACGGCAAAGCATTTCACTCCGAGGCAGAATCACTGGAAGGGCACAATCTGTATTTCACGGCGCATCCCTGGGGGTGCCTGGAACTGACCGGAAGAAACTACCACAAGCCAGACTCAAAAAGTTGGGAAGGAGAAAGAGAAGGTCCCTCCCACACAAAACAGCCTGAAAGAACCCTTGCCTGATAGGGTCTCCCACCCACAAGCAGCCAGACCCCTCCTTCCCCGGTGAGCGAAGCAAAGGCAAAGCAGGCATCTTCCCCTTCTCCCATCTGCCGCATGGGTGACCCTCTAAGGTACTGGGACCTCTCTGCAAAACCCCGTGCACTATCTATCCGGGGAGGAGGAGGAACATCCCCACCTAGTCACCCACTGCCAGCATTCTGCCCCACCCCGACACTTCAGGGCAGCCACACCTGATCCTGACCCTCCCTGTACCCAAGGCCCCCCAGGGCCAGAGGGTGGGAATGCGGAGGACGGTGCCAGGCAGGACCCTGTGTGTGCAGGGGGAGTGAGTGACAGGGGCCCAAGAACCACGGAGCAGGAAAGGCGAGTATGCACCCACCGCCCCACCAGACTTCACTTACGGACACACACTCAAAAAAGCATTAAGAATTTCCAGACTATGATCATAGCGTGTTTTTGAAAGGTAAAACGGGGTATGTGTATAACAAGTGGTAAGATTATGGGTAGTTTTTATTTTATTTTTGCTTGGCCATATTTTCTAAATATCATATTCTAAAGATGTGTGACTTTTGTAACAACAACAGAAAGGAGAGTTATTTTGAAAATAGCTATGTATGGCATTTACAAATTTGAGTCTCAGGCTTCAAGGGTCTCTTGATACGTCAGTGCTTCTTAAATCGGAATGTCCTGAGCTCTTGGCCCGCATACTCGGCTGCCAGATGGACATGTTTGTTTGAGTGCTCCCAAATTGCCTTGAGCTCAACATGCCCAAACCGGAATTGGTAATCTTTCTCTTTAAAATCTGCGCCTTTTGGGGACCGAGAGGTGGAGGGAGAGGGGAGAGGTGGGAGGGGAGGAGGACGAGAAAGGAATTAAGATGTGCTATGTCCATGTACGTGAGGAATGGAATCATTATGCACTGCACGCGTGTGCTAACACATCATCTCAAACAGTGGTGCTCTCAGATGTCCGGTCACCAGCCCTCACGTGGCTCTTGATTGGGCTCAGTCTTTGTCTGACACATAAAGCAGTCAGTACGTCCTCCCCATTCGGCTTCCCAATTTCGCCTCCTCCTCCTCCTCCTCCCGGCTCCTTGGGAGGCCATCTTTGTCCAGCCCTCAGCGTCCCTCACACAAGCTCCCGGCTCTGCCTCCTCCACCCAGGTCTCCTGCCCCAGCCAACCCGCTACCCTTAAAGAATGGAAGTGTCGGCGGGCTATCTCTGCCCACTTACTGCCGAATACCAGCCAGTGTTTCGTGCACGACTTACATGTTCACCCTATCCTCTTCGTTAGGCTCATTTCCAGCAATTCCCCAAAGCACATTCTGTTCCAGCTTAAAAAAAAACAAACCTTTAAATAGCCACACTCTTGTGGCTAGATGTGTTTGCATACACTGCCTCTTCACCAGGGCATGCTCTTCCCCTGACTCTGATGTCCTCAGATCCAAGACTAATCAAATGCCTTATGAAGACTTATCTGAGTTATCCTATGACGGTGAATAACCATAGAATTAAAACTAAGAGCTGCCAGACATGGTCGCACATGCCTGTAATACCAGTATTCAGGAGGATGAGGCAGGAGGTTCTTGAGCTCAAGGCCAGTCTGGACTATATACCCAGATCCTGTCTCAAAAAAGAAAAAAGGGCCAGGGATTTAGCTCAGCGGCACAAGTACCTGCTTGCCAAGCGCAAGGTCCGGAGTTTGATTCCTGGTACCAAAAAAAAAGACTAATAACCTAAAATTTCATCAGTATTTATTACATTCTATTATAGATTTTGTTTCCATGACTGTCTTTTCTAGAGAGTGACTTTCTGAGGAAGAAGGCCCTACCGTCCATCTTTGGATGGGGAGTTAGCTTCACGCCTCTGTCCACAGTGACAAAGCCTAGAAGGAAGTCAGGCAGGGCGAGCTACAGGGCAGAACCTAAAGCATGACTTGCCCAAATCAAGTTCAGCAAATATTTGCTAGAAGAAAGGGCAGGGAGAAGAAACAGGCAAGCTAGGGTTGACCGTGACACACCTTAGCTCTCGAATGAAGTGAAACTTTGAAATGAAAACGCAATCCCACAGAGATTTTGTAAAACAATTATACGAGAGAAATGAACAATTTTTTTGAAAATCACTGGCAGGAGATTTTGTTTTTTGAACAGGAAGCAGGGCACAGTGGAAGAGCCACGTGTTATGAGTCAGAGGCTGTGATATCACTACTCTTCCAAACGACCTTGGACACGTTACTGACTGACTGACTGACCGCAGGAATCACTTTCCTCAACTGTATAAATAACAGAACTTGAAAATCAGGAACAAAAGAATTCTTACCCCAGCACTGTGCCAAGCTGTTTGTTTACATAGATTCAAATTTAATCCTGAAAACCAGTTTCGTTGTCCCCATTTTACAGAGGAGAAAAATGGGATGAGAGAAGTTAAATACATTCCCAGGGACAGGGGAACACTGAGACACAAACTTAGGCCTTTGAACAACTGAGTCCAGACTCAGACACAACGCCTGCTGCCTAGCTTGTATCTGTCTCAGTGGGAGCCACACAGGTCAGAAACGTAGGGGGAAGGCAGGCAGGACATGCATCAGAAAACTCGGTCTGCCCGCTAGCAGCAGAGTATAAACTTTTCTGCTGTGAATTTGTACATTATATTTCTCTCCTTCCATTAACTCTCTACCTTTATTTCCCTTCCCCTGCCTCCTAACCCCAATTTGGATGATCAAACTCAGGAGCATTCTGAGCTGTAACCCCCAGCCCATGTCATTCACGTATGTATATGAGTTTGTTTGTTTGTTTTGTGTTTTGAGACAGGGTCTCACTAAGTTGCCCGGATGAAACTTGAACTTGTAGTCTGCTTGCTTCGGTGTGCCTGAGTCCTGGGATTACAAGCACGCACCACCATGCCAGGATTTATTTCCCATTTTTCCCCAATTGTAATTTTCTTCGATCGCTAATTAAATGTATGCATATAAACTACCTAATATTCTATTTTAAACAAGGTAGAGCACAAGTTAATAGTGAATAGTTATATGGGAAAACAAACTGCAATCATAATTTAATTTTTATTTTATTTTATTTTATTTAGTTTTGCAGAGCTGGGGATCAAACACAGGGCCTCATGCACGCTACACAAGCACCCTACCACCGAGCTACATGCCCAGCCCAATGACTTTTAAAAGTTAATAAAACAATTACATGAAAGTTTTCCTTTGTTTTGTAGTAGCAAGTATTGAACCCTGGTCCTCTTACATAAATTATAAATTTATAATGCTAAATGCTAACAAGAGAGAAATTAAACTATTATATATTGCTTGTTGTACCATATATAAATAGGTACAAAGCTGTAAAAAAGCATTTTGGCATTATGCAAACAAGAACACAAATATATCTTAAAAAATTGCTTAATCCCAAAAATCTTCTTGAGGGACCAGGGATATAGCTCAGTGGCACAAGCACCTGCCTGGTGAGCATAAGGTTTGATTCCTGATAACAACAACAACAAAAAAAAAAAAAACAGAATATAAATTCTCCCAAAAATCTCCTTGGGAGTTATCCATAACTTTTTCTTGCAAGCATGAAAATATTCAAATCTAAGATGTAAAAACAATTACAAATAGAAATATATTTATCATAATATTATAAATACACCATAATGAAAGGCACACTCACTCAGGGGATGTCTTATAGTGTAAGGTACACACCTTGATTTCTGAACCACATGGAAAATCTATTCAGAGTCAAATAAATTAATTTTTAGGAAGAAAATAAAAACATAGTACGTATAGCTAAATCTATTTAAAACTAACTCTTAAAAAAACACAAGAAGAAAACACCAGCCAGGCCCCACATGGTGGCGCACACCTGTAATCCCAGCACTCAGGAAGCTGAGGCAGGAGGATCATTGTGAGTTCAAGACCAGCCTGGGGTACAAAGTGAGATCAAGGCCAGCCTGAACTGTTTAGTGAGACCCTGTCTCAAAAAGACATTAAAAGAAAAAAAAAAAAAAAAAGCACTATTGTGGCACACACCTATAATCCCTGCACTCAGGAGGCTGAGGCAGGATGATTGCCATGAGTTAGAGGCCACCTTGGGCTACACAGTGAGTTAAAGGCTCATGAGACCCTGTCTCAAAAAAGAAGAAAAATACTCCAAAATGATTTTAGAAATATAACTCTATGTCTTTCTACTGTCTATATTTTCAATTTTTAGAAATGTGACAATGTAATATTTATATACAACCTTTCAAAGTATTTAAATATTAGTTTTTAAATTATTAAGAACAAACTTAGAGGTTTGTATTAAATGACTTTTAAGCTTCTAAACTCTGAATTCTATGATTCTGTGAATAATTTCAGAGTAGAAATAAAGAGAGGGTATTAAAGAAACCAGTTCTGCATGAAAAATTGAGTGAGTTCCTTGCAAAATAATGTTTAGAAAAAGGCACCCATAACAAAAGAAAGAAAAAGTCGTCCTTAATCAAGAGTCAATATAAAATATTCATCTGGACAAAGTAAACATTTTAACATTCCTTCAAACACACTCGTAAATTGTCATCGTAATCACAATTCAGGAACAAGTGTCTCTGGGTGTGGTGGTAAGCCCAGCTCTTGGGAGGCTGAAGCAGGGGGATTGCCTTGAATTTAAGGCCAGCCTGAAATACATAGCGAGACCCCATCTCAAAACACCAAAAAAAATTTTTAAATAAAAAGGAACATAGCTGTAAAATGTTTAACTATTTTCATTTTTTGGTACCAGGAATCTAACTCAGGGCCTCACACTTGCCAGGCAGGTGCTGCACTGCTGAGCTGCATCCCCAGCCCTTAAAACATTTAAGCTGGTAAGAGTAAAACGTTAGCTGGAAATGAAGAACTATAATCAGGAAAGGGACTTCGTATTTTCAATGTATTTAATTTTATAACATTCTCATAAAGAATTATTTTCCCCTCTCTGAGTAATATGAACAGAATGCTTACCTCCTTTCAGCGCCCGGCAGAAAGAATACGTGTCGTCGTATCCACTGCAAATGACTTCTTTGCGTTCTGGCAGAGTCATGGAGTTGAAAGATATGTACAGGTTGAAGTACAACTTCCTTAAGTCCCTTCCTGAGAAAGGAAACACTGCGTTAGCCCCCAACTGAGAGATCCTCCTATAAAGATTAACATCTGTGAACCCTTCATATGCACCCTGTGCTTTTCCTACGTCTTCATTTCAGTCCTCACAGCTCTCCAGGAGGTGGATGCTATTGTTCTTGTTCTGTAGATGAGAAAGCTGCAGCTTAAGGTGGGCATCTTTGCAGCCAAAGAGAATGTTCCACAGTAACATTTTTATGCCTAAAAATAGAGTAAACGTCATAACCTGATGGAGAAAACTATCAAACAAAATTTTCAGTGTTAGTTCTGCTGGAAAATCCAAAGGAGAAAAAAGAAGTACGGATAATCAACTCATGTCAACTTTTTTTTTGAGGCAGGGTCTCACTAGGTAGCCCAAGCTGACCTTGAACCCACAGCGATCCCCCTGCCTCAGCCTCCTGAGTGCTGGGATTATAGGCATGCGCCACCTTGCCTGATTTATGCCAACTTTTTAGAGGTCTTGATAAAATATTTGAAGACTGGATCTTTCAATTACAAATTAAATATATGGGTGTTTTAAATATCTTCATGATCTCCCTATTGTCAGGTAACATGGAAAATTCCAGTAGGTCATATGCTTTCTTCAGTTCTTCCAAGTTATTCAATTGGCACAAACTGAGAAAATAAATACAACCTTTTTAAAATGAAAGCAATTGTTGTAACCACTGTCCCATTGAAAATGTTTTCCTAATAAGGTCACCATGAATCTTTCAGTCAAGGTCCGAAGACAACGCTCCCGTCTTTCCCAGACTGAGCTGTGCTTACAGAACTGCCAGCTTGCTTTCTACTCCGGGAGGCAGGTGCCACCGCATCCTTCTAGTTGCGCTCCAGCCCCTCTGACTTCCCCGCAGCGTGTGTCACCGTATCTTCTGTCTAAGGCGCATCTCCGGGTCTCCTCAGTTTTCACTCCGCAAGCTTTCCCTGACGTTCAGCATCACGTAAGGGAATACTCTGGAAATCGTCATCTTTAGATCTTCAGTTCCGACCTTTCTCCTGAGAACGGTACTTATCCAAGTACTCTTTCAACATCTCTGCTCAACAGTTGCTTCATTACCTCACACCGCAGATCCGGAACTGGCTTCCTCATGTCATCATGAATTGGCACTGGAATCCCCCTGCTGGGGGCAAATCTTACCAGCCTCCCTCTTGGCCCTCAGAACTCGGCGTCCGATGTTCCATCAAACATCCTCACGTGTCTCTGCGCCTGTTTCCAGGGTAGGGTGGAGAGAAGACCATCATGGGGCTCGTGTCTAACAGTGGTCCCAGGGCCCACTCCCTGGGCTTGGGCCTGCACCTGTCCAAGAGCAAGGCTGCGTGTGGAAGTGCAGGAGCTGTCCTCACCACGGATCTTGGGAGGCAACACACGCAGAGCAGAACCGCTGCACCGCCTCATCACAGTGCTGAGCAAAGGAACTTCTTCCGTTTCTTCGCGGAGCCCAGCACAATTCTGATCTCCGAAGATCGAAGGAGTGAAGTCCTGCTTTGACATCTCAGTGGCTTCTATCTTGAGAAGCTCTTGACCCCGGACATCCTGTGGTCCTGTTAGGCAATGAACAACCGTAGCCTTGAGCAACCCTTTCGTAGCTTAGCAGGACGCCCCGGTGGACGCTGAAGAGAGGAGAACGCGGTGGTCCTCACGCGATAACAAGGAGACGACTCTTGAGCTCACCTAGGACGGCTCTAGGAACTTCCAGAAACGACCTTGAGCGGGGCTCGCGATACAGCTGTTGTAAGAATTTAAGCAGAAGTAAGGCCATAAGAGGAAGGCTGATTTCTATGAATGTGAGGCCCACACTTTATACTGACATTATAGTAAATTCCAGGAAAGCGCAGGTCTCAACTGCAAAGTGTTAACTTTACAATGATTTGTTTTATGCCATATTTAGTAAAGGGTTGAAGTATTTTGCGGTGTGTCACTCAGACCTCTCCTCAGAAGAAGCGGTGGTGAGGAGGGCAGTTGGCCGACAGCCTGCAGGCGCCATACCCTGAGGTCCAGCCCTCAGCCCCGGCCACACTCCCACACGTCCCCAGGACTCTCGTGTAAAGCAGTCTTCGCTTGGGGCTCGCCGTTGACATAGCTGAGAACACTGCGTCTTGGTCTGAAGATTACCCTGCCTAATTCTCCTTTTCCCCTTTCACTCTTTCTCTTTTCTCTCTTTCTTTTTTTTTTTCTTTTTTTCTTCTTATTATTTGTTTCATTTCGTTTTGTCTCGTTTTTTGAGTACTAAGAATTGAACTCCAGGCCTTCAGGCTGAGCCACATCCCCAGTCCCTCATTTATTTTTTATTCGGAGGCAGGGTCGTTTCTCAGCTACTTTGGCTGGAGGTGAACTTGCGGTCCTTCTTATCCAGCCTTCCAGAGACTGGGATGACAGGCATGTGTCCCCTCACCATCCAGCTGGCCAGGAATTTTCGGGGGTGTGGTCTTTTTTTTATTGGTACATTTTAGATATACAGAATGCTACCATTCCTTGGAGATAGGGTCTTGCTGTGTTGCCCAGACTAATCTCAAACCCCTGGGCTCAAGCAGTCCTCTTGCCTCAGCCTCCTGAATAGCTGAAACTAAAAGCAAGCGTCACTTACCCCCCCCCTTTCACTTTTCAAAGTTATCAGAACTGCAATCCAACCTGAATACTATGTCTCCTCTGACTTCCTCTTTCCTTTAGTTTACAAGCATTTGGCCCAATAAAAATCTAGCCTATCTGGTCACTTCTTGGGATCTGTCTTTCAGAGACTGCTAAGTGTGCCATATAGTTTTACTGTTTGGGCCTGGAAGAGTATCACCTGCTTCCTGTGAGGACAAGGGATTCACCTGAAGGTAAGCAATTCATCATTTGCTGTGTAACTCTTCACTTATGACAAGCATACCAACTAGCTCAGAAAACAGAAGCTGGGAAAAAGGAAATGACAGGGCCTTAGCTTGTCGAAACTTTGGGTTGTTTCTTTTACTTTTGGTGAAGAAGGTGAAGCAAACGGACTTGATCATGCTTCTCTCTAAACTACCGTTTATGCCCAACTGCTGTCATTTTATTTACACCACGTTATCTGCAGATCCATCTCTCCTACTGCACTGACAGATTCTTACAGGCAAAGAGAATATCTTACCAATGAGTTCACAGTGCCTATCACAATACTTGAAATACGCTAAGACTTTACTACTTTTTTTCAGTGCAAGGTGTTATACCCAGGGCTTTCAGCACATCAGGAAAGCACTTTAATACCCAGGTACACCCACAGCCCCAAGTATTCTTTTTTTTTTTTTTTTTTTTGGTTTTTCTCCGGTACTGGGAACCGTACTCACAACCTTACGCTTGCCAGGCAGGCGCTTTTGCCGCTGAGCTAAATCCCCAGCGCCCCCCCCCCAAGTATTCTTTAATGAATAAATCAACACAAAGATAAAGTATCAAAATACTAGTCGAACAATTAGATTCAGAAAAAAAAACCCAAGTTTATTGTTCATTATTCTCTAGTTCTCGGCTACTTTTTCTTTTTATAAGCTGGAGAACTAAAGTCAGGAATGAAGGGGCAAATGTTTCTTTAAGTTCATTTATATAAAAGTACTTTATAAAGTATAAAACAAGCTCCAGATCTAAGATGTAGATGGTGATGATGATGATAAAGGTTAGAATTAGTTTCCCGAGAGCCCAGAACTTATAAGAAAATCAACAAAGAACGCTGACAAGTAGGAGAGGATGAAGGTTTGGTGTTTGTATAGACACTAAAAGCACCACCACTTCCACTAATTTCTACTATGCTGACAATAAGGAATCATATAGAATAAAAATAAGATAAAACACAGTCACAAAACACATTGCCTTTTTAAATCCCTTCATCACAATGTTTTTTTCTAAACAGGTCATCTTTAAGAGAAAAAAGATCTGGCTGGATCACACACAGATCTTTGACTGGTGAAAAACAAATATTATTAACCGGCTGAATACTAATGGTTGGATACAGCTGAATACAAAGGAGGTACATGTGAGATTGCTGGAAATCTCAGGAGATTTCCAATCCTACACACATGTCGTTGTGTAATCCCCTCCTCAAGGGTGTGAACAGACCTAGTGACTTCCTCCTACAGTAGAGGTGACAGAGTGTCACTTCCACGGTTAGGCTACTTCCATCCTGCTACCTGATGTCCTGCCTCCCGGCTGTGATGAAGCCATGCTGCACAGGCCCATGTGGTAAGAACCAAGGATGGCCCACAGACAGTATCTGGGAGCTGAACACTGTTGAAAACCACACAAACTTAAAAGTAAATTCCTCCCGAGCCTTCAGAGTCCAGTCCGGGTCAACATCTTGACTGTAACCTTACTGGAAGCCCTGCAGCTGGCACAAATAAACTATACCCAGACTACCAACCTGGAAAGACTATGGGTAATAAGTGTGTTTTGTGTTAAACCACTAACACTGTGGTAATTTGTTGCATAGCAACAATAGAGAATAATTAAATTTGGAACACAATTATTTATTTTTTGTATTTCTTTTCTTTTTTATTTATTTATTTATTTATTTATTTGTCTTTTTGAGAAGGAACTCGCTGTGCAGTTCAGACTGACCTTGAGCTCACTTTGTAGCCCAGGCTGGCCTCGAACTCACTATGATTCTCCTGCCTCAGCCTTCCAAGTGCTGGGATTACAGGCGTGAGCCGGCTATTTTTTTTATTTCTTGAACCCTTAAATTGATCTACAGAAGCAAGAATTTTATTTATTTATTTATTTATTTATTTGTTTATTTTTGGCTTTTTGACACAGGGTCTCACTATGCAGTTCAGGCTGGCCTTGAGCTCACTTTGTAGCCGAGGCTGGCCTCAAACTTGCAATGATCCTCCTGCCTCAGCCTCCCAAGTGCAGGGATTATAGGCATGCGCCACCATGCCTGGCAGAAAAAAGAATTGTACTTACTTGGTATGAAGAAAATATTCAGAGTTCCAGATGATCCCTTCAATGTTAAACAGGGTGTAACATTAATTGAAATAGGGACTTCCTTGTTACCTAAAGGAAATAAAGACAACATGAATAAATTGTTATAAATCACTTCAAATAAGTATAGTACTCTGAATACTAGACCCAAAAGATTACTTTTAAAGTTATATAAATAGAACAACTAGGAGTGGTTATAAATGTCTCTTCAGAGGAGTAACATCACCAACATGGTAGAGCAGGAGGTTCTAGATTTACCTCTATAAACTCAACTATTCATGGTCAAATTTCATTTGTGAAAATTAGGCCCTAATTGAAAGGTCCTTTCACCCAGGAAAATGCAAAATCAGACCCACTAAAGCCACTGTGGTGGAATCACAAGAGGCCTAGAATAGCAAAAGCAATCCTGGGCAACAAAGCAAAGGCAGGAGGCATCACAATTCCTGACTTGAAATTATACTACAAAGCTACTATGATAAAAACAGCATGGTACTAGCAAAAAAACAGACCTAAAGATCAGTGGAACAGATCAGAAGATGCAGACACAGCTACAAACACACTCAGTCACTTATCTTTGACAAAGGAGCCAAACACCTTCACTGGAAGAAAGATAGCCTCTTTAATAAATGGTGCTGGAAAAACTGGCTTTGCACATGCCAAAGATTAAAATTGGACCCGTATCTTTCACCATGCACTAAATTGAAATTGAAATGGCTCGAAGATCTAAATATTAAGACAGAAACATTAAATCTGCTGGAAGATAGAATAGATAAAACTCTTGAAGACACGGGTGTATGTAAAGACCTTAGGAGTAAAGTCCTGATCACACAGGAACTGTCACGAAGAACCAACAGCTGGGATCTCGCCTTATTAAAAACTTTTGCACAGCTACAGAAGCCACCAACAGAGTGAAGAGACGACCCACAGTGTGGGAGAAAATGTTTCCCAGCTGTTCCTCGGACAAAGGATTACTATCGAGAACATGCAAGGAGCTCAACTAAAATCAGACCTCCCAAACTTAAAGACCCAATCGAAAAACGGCATCTGAGGTGAATACACACTTCTCAGATGAAGAAGTAGAAATGGCAAATAAATATATGAAAAAATGTTCAGCATCACTGGTTATTCAAGAGATGCCAATTAAAACAACGCTGAGATTCCATCTCACCCCAGAAAGAACGGCTATTGTGAAACCAACCAATAGCAAGCACTGGAGGGGCTGTGGGGGAAAAGGAACCCTTCTCCACTGTTGTTGGGAGTGTAGGCTGGTGCAGTCACTGTGGAAATCAGTGTGGAGATTCCTGAAAAAACTAGGATCAGAGCTCTAATTTGACCCAGCTATTCCCCTTCTAGATATCTTCCCAGAAGAATTAAAAACATCATACCACATAAATATATGTATGCATATATATCCATTTTTGGTTTGGGACTTTAAATTTGGGAGGCCTGACTTTTTTAGTTCCTTATTTGTTCTCGATAGTAGTCCTTTGTCTGAGGAACAGCTGGAAAACATTTTTTTCCCAATTGTAGGTTGTCTCTTCACTCTGCTGGTGTTTTCTCTTGCTGTGCAAAAGTTTTTTAATAAACCCATGTTTATAGCAGCCCTATTTGTAATAGCTAAATATTGGAAACAACCCAAATGTCCATCAGCCAAGAAATGGATAGCCGGGCATGGTGGCACATGCCTGTAATCCCAGAACTTGGGAGGCTGAGGCAAGAGGATTGTTGCAAGCTCTAGACCAACCTGGGTTACAAAGGGATCTCAAGGCCAGCCTGAACTGCAGAGTTAGACCTTGTCTCAAAAAAAAAGACCAAAAAAAAAAAAAAAGAAAAGAAAAGAAATGGATAAAAAAGATGTAGTTGTTTTATACAATGGAGTACTACTCAGCCATAAAGAAGGATAAACTAGAGACTTTTATAGGTAAATGGATGCAACCCGAGACCATACTCACAAGTGAAATACATCAGACCCACATATGTAAACATTGTATTGTCTCCCTAGTGTGAGAGGCTGAATGATAAATATGACCCAAAATGTACAATAGATAATGTGAAATGGGAACAAACCGTTCAAAAGGAAAGAGAAACTGGGGTGGGGGAAAGGAGGAAAGCAGGAAGAGAAAAGAAAAAAGAGAGAGAGAGAAGTTAGTTACAATAGTTACACTACTAATTTCTCTTAGTTCATTAAAAAGAAAGGTTTGTGCTAATATTGTTTGGAAAATTAAATGCCTATACCTTGTACTCTGCATAGCTAATTTAAAGATAACAATACGCAATGTATTAACCGCTGTTACTCTCCTATTATCATGTTTTGAATTTTTTTCCTTTTAAAATAAAATTGTAAAAAAACACTATGGAAATCTGGGCATGGTGGCGCACACCTATAATCCCAGCACTCGGGAGGCTGAGGCAGGAGGATCATTGTGAGTTCGAGGCCAGCCTGGGCTACAGAGTGAGCTGAAGGCCAGCCTGAACTGCACAGCAAGACCCCATCTCAAAAAGACCAAAAAAAAGCACTGTGGAGTCTTAGGACGCCCTCCCTCCGGGGTTCCTTACCTGAGTAGAGCACCATACAACTAAGAGGAGGCAACCTAGCACCCAGCTTCACATGGAGGTGGGAAAAAACTGGTTTGCATGACCAGTGTCCAGCTCTTCCGAGAGTGCTCCCCAGAGGACTGGATTCCGGCTTGCCTGTCTTGGAGCTGTGATAGATCCATCTGCTACAGTCCCGCTAATAGGGGAGAGTGAAGCCCGTGGGATGGGATGGAAGACATGACTGATCTTCCCTTCTGCTCATCATAGAGTGACAGATGAAAAATAATCCCAGCTGTCAATTTCCCCTAAAGGAGGGAAAGCGCTGATCCATGAATCCAGCACTCAGACTTCTCTGCAGCTCCCCGCAAAACCAGTGTCTGTCTCTCTCGTCCTGGAGTTCTGATGGATCTGGCATAGTCTACCCACCCGGGTAGAAAGAGACAGCTGCCTGGGCTGATTCACGCTATAACTCCCGGCTCAACGCAGAGTGAGCAGAGGAAAGCTGCAACTGCATGCTCCTCTAAGGGGAGAGAGAAAGAGAGAGAGAGAGAGAGAGAGAGGAGGGGCCCCGGAATCTCTGAGAAAGAGCTTCGTGAAGGCCTTCTCCTATGTAAGCCCAGCTCAGGAAGACTGACAGTGCCTGGTTTTTCTAACATGCAGACACCAACACAAAAAGTCAAAGAAAACGAAAACCAGGCAAAGATGTTCCAAACACGGGACCTGAGACAAGTGTGAATAACTAACCCCAAAGAAATGAGTCATATGATTCATCTGATGAAGAATTAAAAATAATTCTCATAAAGATGTCCGCTGAAGCTAAGAGAACAATGCAGAACAAAGTGGGAATTTCAACAAGTGAAAGAAAATATGGAAAAGTACCACACAAGAACCACAAAACTGAAGAACATAATAACTAAACTGAAAAATTCACCAGAGAGATTCTATGACAGGAAGGAGACTGGAAAGGGAGGGGAATAAAAACAGAATTAAGATGTGCTGGGTACATATACCAACTCCCCATAAGCAGTGTAATCATTATGTACTGAACACTTGTACTAATAAAAATAAACACTGAAAAAACAATAAGATAAAAGATTTATGTCAAGTAGTAATTCTGTCAGACTTCTACAGTTTCTTCTATTCAACAGTATTATACTTTAATTTCTGGTCCCTGCTTGTTCAATGTGGTTATAAGGTAAAGCTTAAGTCAGTGACTTGCTAATGTTCTTGTCCTCTTTCCTATAGTATCAAAAGATGATGGTTCATTAAACAATAAAGCTCATCTTCCTTCATCTCCTTCAGATCAGTCAAGGTGAGACGTTTGATCCCTGGTCAAGCAGGATCGGCACCTTCCGCAGCCTGGAGCTGTTATAAGAAGAGAGACCCTTGGTCCTTCTGCACCCACTCTGAAGGAGGAACTGAAGACCGGGAGCAGAGGATGCACTTGGATAGAAGAAGGAAGGTAGGCAGACAGGAGGCAGGAAAAGTCCTAACTAAAGAAATTATGCTTTTGGGGCTGGGGCTGGAGCTCAGTGGTAGAGCTCTTGCCTTGCATGCACAAGGCCCTGGGTTCGATCCCCAGCACCACGTACATAAAATAACTAATAATAATAATAAATTAATTTTTAAAAATAAATTATGCTTTCAAGAAAACTGAAACTCCAGGACACCATCATCAGTACCCATGGCTATCCAAAGCAGTGCTCCTTCGGTTTATGTTTTTTCTTCTCTTCCAGGCTGATCACACACAAATTCCTTAAGGACACTGTAAGTGCATAAATTGGCTTAGCTGCGAAAGTGAAGAGCAAGAACCTGAATTTAAGATAAACAAACAGGTTGACTGCATATATATCAGACCACTTAATATCAGTATGAAATATCAGAACATTTAAATATATAAAGCAAATGTTGACAAAACTAAAAGGAAAAAGAAGACAGCAATATAAATACTGAGTTACTTCAATACACTACTTACCATAATGGACAGAACATATAGACAGAGGATCAATAAAGAAACAAGAATTGAATAATGCAATAGACTAACTGGAATATATATATATCACATTTCCCCCCTTAGCAACAGAACATACATTCTCCTAAATTAAGCACAGATCTTACCCCAGAATGGGTCACATTTTAGATGACAAAATAAGTCCTAACAAATTTGAAAAAGCTAAAGTGACACCAACTATTTTTATGACCACAAGTGAATGAAAGTAGAAACAACAGCAACTGGAGAATTCTCAAACGCATGGAAATCACACAGCACTCTCCGAGCAACCGTCGGACGAAAGAAGAGATGAAAGGCAGAGAGCACTCAAGACGAATAAAAAGTACCAAAACTTACGAAGAGCAACACACGCGCCGCAGTGAGCACAAAAAGGAAGCTGAGAGTGCCGAGTACCTATGTTTAAAGGCAGAGGGCAGGGTTTACAGCTTAGCGGTAGAACGCACACTTAGCTTATTCAAGACCCTGGGTTCAACCCCCAGCACCAAAGGAAAATAAAGAGAACAGAGAAATCTCATATAAACAACCT